CAAGGTCACATAGTTAGTAAGTGGCAGAGCCAAGTTTTGGTGCCAATTTGGTCTATACCCTGCTGTCTCTGTCTATAAATATCTACTCAGTTGGACTCAAGCTATGTTCGGGCTTCTGGGAAACCCCTCATCAGCTACTCCACGGGCCCTGGCTCTAAGAAAGCTAACACTCCAGAGCCTGTTAACTACCCAAGGGCTTTGGGGAAAGGTGGTCAGCTTCAGGAAAGAATGAAGCACTGTCATGGTTCCTTTGAAGGGTCTAACAGGAAATAACTTGCTTCAGCCTCGACTGCTGAGAGACATTTTCAAGTGGGTGACACTCAACAGGTTTGGAATCACACATTCCTCAAGTGCTGAGTTTCTGACCAACAATGAAAAATTCCAGTTAGACTTTGCTTTCTAGACACTCACTAACAGTGACATTGGAATTAGGTAGCCTTTAGGTATAGATTCCACATATGCAAAACCCTTGATAGAGACTTAATCTGGAAACTTCATGGAGGACTGATTCTTGGATATCAGAAGACTTTGGTGGCATCCTTGGCTCCTCGGTTAGTACTGACTGCTGCCTGTGTGAGGGACTGGTAGTCCCTCTCCTTCTCCTGTAGCTGAAACCCTCTTTCCTCCATTCTTTTGCCTCTGTGAGCCCTGGCAAATGTGTCTTCTTTTTATGAATTCCTCTCTCCTTGCCAGGGCCAGCTCATGGGTGTGGGATCTGTGTAGTCACACAGGGCCCCACACTCAGGAAGGCTCTGTGCTTACTTTCATGCTCTATTGTCACTAGCTTGAAATTCTTAACAATTTTTGAACAAGGGGCACCACACTACTTTTGCACTGGGCCACATAAATCGAGTAGCCAGTCCTGCTCCTTACTGTGGACATTGAAATAGGGAGAATATGCCTACCATACAAGGTATGAGTGCGTGGTGTACCTGTTTTCCTCTCCTTTGGAACTCAGCGGGCATTTTCCCATAGAGACAATCCATAAAGGTGGATGAAGCCAATGATAGTTCCATACTACTTAGCCTCAGTTCTTTCATCTCTAAAATGGGGGCAGTAGCACTTACCCTTGCATGTTATTGTGAACACTGAGTGGGATCATGTATAAAGTACCTATCAGAGTGTCTGGTATAGATTAATACTAGGTGTTTGTTAAATGATATCCGTGGGAGACAGCAGGTGCAGCAAACAGAGCTTGAACTCTGGAGGTAAGAGCTAGGTCAGAACTCAAAGCAGCCCCACTGCTTAAAAAAATGCATGACCTTGGTTAGGTGACTCCATTTCTCCCAGCCTTCGTTCCTTTATCTGTAAAACGGGAATGCTAATATTTACTTTATGAGGTTGTTTTGGGATTTAAATAATTTAATATATTTAAAGAACCTAGTTAACTATCTGGCATCTAGTAGGAGCTCAAAAAATGATAACAGTTCTTAGTTTGCTTTCCTTATAACACTATTTCTATACTGAAAACAATCCATTTATAAATGATGTTTGGGATACGACCATTACTAAGTTCCCATATACTATACAACTTCTGTATACTGTACCATCTACTTAATGTAACCTCCTTGTATGTTAAGATAATTTGGTAAAAAATATTTGAGCATTATTTTTCCTTCTTTGCTAGACTATGAATTCCTTGAAGGCAGGGACCATGTCTTATTTACCCTTTATGGTAGAACTCTTCCTAACACATGTCAGAATCTCAGTTGAATTAATTCTCTTTTCTTTCCTTTATGCCAACAATGAGATGACAATTTTCATAACATTCCTAAATTAGCAGTTAATAATTAGCCTATCAATGACTAGGCAGTAGAAAGACCCCCAAATAGCCCATCCCGACCCTTAAAGGCCTTTTCTCCTTGCTCATCACACAAGGTTCATATTCCTGCCTTCTTGGGTCTGGTTCTTGTTCCATTAAGAAAGTTATTCCATCAGGGAACATAACTTAGTTCTGTGCAACCAACTACCTTCCCTGGCAACAACCTGTGTAGAGAAGCCACTGGAGGAAGAATTTCCCGAAATCCCGATGGGCGTGGTGCCTCTTAGGATTCAAAGAGGCCTCAGAACTGTGACTCTTAACCATTTGGGGGTTATGGGGCCCTTTAAGAACCTTCTGATAGTTATAGACTTTCTCTCTAGAAAAATAAACTCAATATCTTAGTACAATTTCAAAGTGTTCTCAGAACCCCTGAAGGCCTTGAACCCCAGGTTAAGAATTCTTGTTAGAACAGTCCAGAAAACTGAATCAGCGATGTGCAAGATTCAAGTTTCCTGATAAATTCTAGCCCAGACTAGTCCATACTCCCTTGTTGAAAACAAAGTAAAACAAAACAATTACAACTCCCTAGATTTAACCTCAAGGTTATCCCTGAGAGCCCAGACCCGGGCAGTAATGGTAAAGGCTTCCAGCCAAGCAGTGACTACTCTTTGCAGAACCTAAGTTCAGCAGAATAAAATGAAGCCTTGTTTGATAATATCGTTTACATTTCCAAATCCTGGGTATCAAGCTTTCTTCCTATCCCTTGTGGCCCTTCCTAAGTTTAGCTGCTGGTGTAATGGGGTAACCATGGCAACAACCACCTGCCTATTTAAAACCATCTCCAACACTAAATAAGGAAGCCTGAAGAAAATGGCTGCTTGCCTGCCTCTCAGTGGACAAATTGGGGACTCCTGGGTATTTTAGATACAGACAGGCAGGCAGGGCAGAAGCAGTATACACTCAAAGTTAACAGGAAGTGTTTGGTGAGCTTGTGAAACAGGTGCTACCTCATCCTTCTATATCTTCACTTGTTAGGCAAGCACATACATTTACATGCAAATCCATGTGCCTGTCACCCAGACCACACTGCCTTGTCCTCAAGCACACGAACCTCACCCCAAAGAGTAGTCTTGTTAACAGGATCTGGGCAGTGGGAAGGAAAAACAGTTATACTGATCACAGTGAATTTGTTCATACTTTGCGTTGAAATGTACACTACAGTTTTTTTGATAGATGTATCTTTCTAATTGTAGTTAATCATGTGGATGATTGATATTTGCTCTGTTTATGTCATTCGTTAACCTGTTCGTTGATTTTTGGAATGTGGAGAAATTTCTCCATCCCTCTGCTTCTGTGTTCTCTGCAAACTGTAGAGGTTTTGGTTCTTTCGCATGCCAAGAGACCATACAACCGGCCATGCTAAAAGGCTTTGCTCTTCCCAAGCATCCTGTACTCTCTCGCTTTTTTACATCTTTTTGTGCATTAGGTTCCTTCTCTCTGGGTTGTCCTTCTCTTCTTCTATGTCTTCTGTTGGTCATCTCTGTTGTTGGGAAATCCTCTATGCCACATTCCATGTCCTTGCTTTGTGTTCCCATAGGTCCTCCCTAGTCACATCACTAACACGAAGCATTCTGCACATCTGCTTTCCAGCCTGTTTCCACCACTGGGCTGAGTGCCCTGCACAGGTCTATTCAAAACACCTACAGAACAGTGTCTGGTGTGTAGTATGTTTTCAAAAGATGCTGTTGAATGAATGAATGAGCAGACCCCCATGGATTTCATAAGCATATGGCATCTTAACGGGCACATGTGCATAAGTATGTGTAAGGGGACTTGTGTGAAAAGAGGACCTTGAAAGTCTGCAGAATGGGTGGAAGAGGAGCACTTTATAAAAAAGTGATTGTGTGTGTATGGGAGTGAAAAAGACTGTGAGAGGACAGCCAGTTGAACTGCAAGCTTGCGAATGCAGTAGTAGGGGCTGGAAGCGCACCTGTCAGTAGTGAGCAGTGAATGTGCACGGTCTGCGCGTGTGAGAGAGCAAGGACTGCCCATGCGTGACAGAATGCACCCCTGATGGGGTCAGCTCAGCTGCTATCAAATCCCACAGATCACCCTTCCCAAAGCAGAAGTAGCTTCATTATGTTTAGTTTCTGATCCTTAAAAAGACCTTCTTTTTTTTGGCTAACCTCCCAGGCTGTAGGGTCAGGGCAAAGAGTAGGAATGAAAATGGTGAACTCTTTGGGGGTGCTGGGCTTTAGATGAATGTCTTCAGATAACATTCTAGCCTCTGCTTTAAAGAGAATTCTGTGACTAAATGAAAGTGAATCCCTTCAGGTTCAGAGAGCAAGTTCAAATTGTTATCCATCTTCCTCCCCACCTGCCTTGGTTGGGGGTGGGATCCAGTGGTCATCTTAAAGTAGTACAACAAATAGCAAAGAGAAAGAATAAACATTAACCAATGAGAAGAAAAAGAAGGCAAGCAGGAAGAAGGGAGAAAGACAATTAACAATTAGAGGGGTTGCTATATACCAGGTACAACTCAGTTCTGGCAAATTCTCTCCTGTAAGCAAGAAGGGTTTGGTTTTGTTTGCAAATGATCTGGTTTTCTCTTTCCTTTCATGTTTGAACCTAACATTCACGTATCGCCCAGGGTATCCAGGCTGAGGCTGGGGCTGGGTGGGCTCCGGGGCACCTGCCCTCTGCTGCCCTCTGCTGTCCGGGGAGGTAGAGGCAATGCCCCCCCCCTGCCCTCCCAGCCCCCACACCTGCCCTCCCCCGCCTCCTGGTCCAAGCCTCAGAGCTGCCATCTCCTCCCGTTTGAGACCAAGAGAAGTTGAGGCCGCTTCCACCCTCTCTGCCCCTCCCCAGGAGAATTGTGGGGGGCTGGAGGTGGAGACACTGTACAAGAAAGTGGCCAAGCCCCAGGAGAGGGTTCCAGTTAGCCAAGAGCAGATCCCCCGCAGTCCCCACAGGTGGGTGTTAGGTGCATCCCCTCCTGCCTTCCAATCCCTCCCTCTGCACAGATCCCTCTGGGAGGGAACAGGCAGCCAGGCTGTGGCATGTTTCTGGCATTTTTTTTTCTCTTGGAAATGGAAACCCTCCTTCCGGCAACGTGGCAGGAAGGCCAAGTCCCCAGGCAGCCCGGGCCAAGAACATTTCCGGAGAGCAGGTGGGAGGCCTGTGTCTGGGGACCACACTGAGTGGGTGGCAGAGTGGGCTGGGCCTGCAGCCTTCTTACCTGCTGTTGAATTTTTCAGGGTGTTTCTCTCTCATCACGTGGAATCTGTGTGCGATGGAAGCATCCTGAAAGTGAAAGAGACGAAAGCAGACCCTTGGTGGGAGGTCATGACTGTGCAATGTGAAGGGAAGGGACACACATGTGCCCTCACTGAATCACGCCAACCCTGAGACTCCAGGAGAGGCACCATGTCACAACCGAGGCTCAACGCCCCGTCCAGGAGGATGAGCTAGTGCCACCAGTACTCCCAGAGCCTATGCCGGTTCACTCCGGAGGCCTTGCCCTTTTCACCCTGTCCCAGGCCCAGCGAGACGCAGATCGTTCAGGTGAGTGAGGGGGAAGCTGCTGTCCTTGGAGGAGAGCGAGAGCCAGTGAGCAGTCAGAGAGCAGGAGCCTGTGTGCGGGGTTGAGTGTGAGTCTTTGGAAATGCCTTGCCGTGGTAACTCTTTTTTACAAAAAATTTATTATTTTGGAAAATTTCGACTTACAAGAAGTTGCAAAAATGATACAGATTCCCTATATCCCTTTCATCCATCTTTCCCCAAAGATATCATCTTACGTAACTACAGTATGTTGTCAAAACCAGAAACCTGACATTGGTAGGTGCTTTTATATGCTAATTCTTAATCATCTATACCAACAGGAACAACTAGTGGCATTGGATAACAAGCTTAGTAGATAATTTAAAACAATATTAAACTTCTGCCTTCTGCTTCTTGATCACTCCACCTAAAGGACTCTCTTCAAGGTTAATAAGAGTCTTATCACTACATCCTATGGGACAATTGACTGTCCTAGTAGCACATCCCTTTGTTGTACTGCTGGCCACCTGCGCCTCAGAACTCACAGTGGGGATGGCTCTCATGATGACACCACGCTTCTGGGTTCTCCATCCTCTGGCCAGAACTTCTCATCCCTGAGTCCTCCGTGCAGCTCACACTCCACACTGTGGGCCATCTCCTGAGTGCTTGTGATTGTTCCCAGCCTCTAGAGGCTGATGGCTCCACAATGTACATCTCTAGAACCGACCCTGAGCTTCAGACTTAAAACCGATCGCATCTTTCCTCGATAACTTGGCCTTCTGTCCTCATTAATTTTCTCATTTTTCAGCAGAAGAACGTAGAAGGCCCCTTCACCGTGCAGGCCCCATGCCAGCACATTGGGTGTAGGTACTGGGCTTTGGAAATAAACACGCTAATTGGGCTGGAGATGAGGGGTGACACAGAAACCAGGGAGCTGATTCAGATTTGTTCAAGAGCAAAAAGTACAGAACTCCATTTACTAGAATATGTGCCTAAAAGACACCTGAAATTCCATACAGTGAATTTTCAGCTAATGTGTATTAATTCCATTTCTAAGATGGAAATTTCTTTTTCTTTCTTTTTTGAGACAGGGTCTCGCTCTGTTGCTCAGGCATGGCATAACTCACTGTAACTACAGACTCCTGGGCTCAAGTAATTTTCCTGCCTCAGCCTCCCGAGAAGCTGGGACTATCGGCACATGACACCACACCCAGGTAATTTTTTAATTTTTTATAGAGACAAGGTCTTGCTATGTTGCCCAGGCTGGACTTGAACTCCTGGCCTCAAGCAATCCTCCCGCCCTGGCCTCCCCAAGTGCTGAGATTACAGACATGTGCCACTGTGCTCAGATATTTTTGAGTGTTGATTTTTTTTTTTTTTTAACATCAGGATGTATAGTTCAGTGAAGAAGCTTTTTTGCACATGTACTATGTGTGATGATCTGCAGCTGGCACTGGAGTCACCCTACCAGCAGCCTGCATTTGAAAAGTGGGGAGGGCAAGTCAAGAAGACAGGCTAATCTTGTGGTTGGTGAACATCCCTAGCTGAAACAGTCTTGAAAGTCTAACAATTAAACTTTAGCTATTGGTTTATTTTTTAGTTTAAGACACAGTAAGAGTGGAAGTCTTGGTGAGGCGCCCAGTGGATGCATGCATGGAGGAGGGTGCAGATCCCAGGGAGGCCTCTGCCCCCACGGCCTGTGCAGCCTGCATTGTTTCTCTGGGAGGCAGAACTGCCTCCTAGGGGATGCCCACCTCCCTCTGTCTGAGCAAGTTTCAGCAAACACTCTCAAGATTCATGTGACATTTGTCAAATGCATCTCTAGTATTCAAGAAAATATTCCGTCTACTTGTGTTCCTTTGAAGCACTAATTTTTTTTCTGCCAGAAAACAAGAAAAAAAAAAAAAGGAAAGAAAAAAGGAATCCCATGTTGCTTGGCATGATTTGTACCTCATTACCCCCAATACTGCTGTGACTGGCTCCAAATTTTTTTATTTCTTCAAGATATATACACAGGCCTCCTCCTGCATAGTTCTGATTGTCCTTGCTTTTTCCATAACTAGGTTTTTGCAAAGCTTCTTATCACAAAGACCAGCCTTTACAATATTTTTAGATAAGCATGTGGTTCCTAACTTGACAATCCCTTGGCAAATACACGAAATAGCAAAGGCGAGTTGAACAGCCCCTTTGCTAGGTCTTGAAAAGGCAATGATGGTAAAGACTGACCATGTTTCTCTACCTGAGGATTAAAAAGAGAATCAGGATTCACCTTCACTCTCTTGAGTTTCTCTGTGTCAAGCAATGGCCTGGGCACATATTACAATCAGTAGTGACTTTATTTGAATTTTGGAAACTAGGACTACAACAGTTGAAACTCTTTCTTGGTGATAATTACACCAAGGGGAAGATGGGAATTGCAAACCCAGGGAAGTGATGATGGCATTTCTGACAGCTTCACTATCTGAGGTCATTTCTAGGAGGTGTGGGGTGAAAAGGAGATGATGGGAGGTGTGGATGTGGGACTACTCTTTCCAGAACTAAATCTCCAGACACATGGTTGGACAAAGAAATGTGGGCCCCTTTCAAATATAAGCAGCAGTCATTTGGACTTTGAGATATTGTAATGTCTAGGCCAGTGCTGTCCAATAGAAAGATAGTGTAAGCCACATATATAACTTAAAATTTTCCAGTAGCCAATAAAAATATAAAAAGAAATGATTAAATTAATTTTAATAATATATTTTAATTAAACCAGGATATCCCAAATATTATCATTATAACAGGCAATCAATAAAAATTATTGAAATATCTCAAATTCTTTTTTTCATACCACATTTTTAAAATTTTGTGTGCGTCTTACACCTACGGCGCATCTCAATTAGGACAAGCCCTGTTTCAAGTGCACAGTAGCCACATGCGGCTAATGGCTACCATATTGGATAATGCAGGTCTAAGTCGCTTTGGCAACCCATGGAGATAAAAAGATGGAAAGGAGACAGTAGGACAGAGTATTTGAAGTTCGGATTGTTCTGAAGATTATGGCAGAGTGGGCAATGGAAAAGAGCGTAGACCCCTTGTCCAAGTCATTCCTCAGTGAGTCCCATTGCCTAAGTACCTTCGTGGCCCTTACAGGTGACAGATAAGAACCTGGTACTGAGAGATGCCAAAAGTTTGCGGGGAAAATGATGTCTTGTTTGACAAATTCCCTAATGGATAGGAGGCTTATCACTGTGGAAAACTCGGCTGTTGATATTTAACGACAACCTGCAAAGTGGAAAATGGTCCGTGGGTCAGTGCGATGACTGTGGCCTCTCCTTGGCCCCTGGGCTCCCCAGCATCAGAAATAGATTTCATTGAATCAAGGGATTAACTGTTCACCCATCCTGTGAGGGCTCAGTGAAAGTAGAGCCCGCGGGGAGTTCAGAGTTACACATACCCCAGGAATTATTCTGTAGTCCCGAACTTCCTGTCACTGATACCTGGCCATCCTGACACTTCTGCTAATCCAAAAATAAAGAGCAGGGAGGAGCAGGCCAGAGAAGTCAGAGGAGGAAGTGGCGTTCTGAATGACTATGTTTAAACTTTCTTGCCAGCGGATGTGATCAGTTAAAAGGACTGATAAGGCCAACTATCCTAGCTCCTCGCTCGTGGGCAGCTGGCACGTGGAGGGATGCGGCAGCAATGAGGCCACGGTCGCTCCCTGGATGGGCCAGCAGACTCTGCTTATTTGTTTCTCCATCTGTTAAATGGGTTCTCTTGGCACTAAGGGGACCGAGTAAACTCATCAGAGCAAATTCTGACCCACCGTAGCAGGAGTCATTGTCATCATTTTATAAATGCAAGGCAGCAGACATTTGATATCAGCAAGACATTCCAGGTCCTTCAAAAGAGGCAAGGCTTTTGTAGGACTCTTTTTGCCAAAGGAGTTCAACTCCGTTTAATTGTCATCAGGAAGTAAAACTGGGTTGGTTTACATATCTACTTCTCCTCTTACAAAGTTTGGGAAGTCAAATAGGGAGCAAGACCTTCTGCAAATGTCAGCCCCAGACTCTGTTAGGGTTGCGTGTTGGTTACTTGTTTTCTCAAGAATTTCTCTTTCCAACTTTTAAAGAGCGAGCACACAAACCCTGCAAACGTTTTATTGAGAGAAGGCTAAGGGTACACCAATAAGATAAAAAAATATAGTCCTGCTTCTTCACTCTTCGGCAGGATAACATTAAACATGCCTAAGCTAAAGGTGTATGAAAAAAATAAAAGGAAGATAGTGTGAAGTTCTCATAATTTAAAAGATGAATAGATTAGATTATTATAAGTCAGCCCAGGGCAGATGAATACCTCGACTGATGAGAGTGATGGAGATTCTGTTTATATGTGTTTTCTTGAGGGACAATTAATTAGCTGACCCTCCTGCTTCCCGCCCTCCCTGCCCTCCTTCTTTCCTTTTTTCTGACGTATTTGATAGAATGAATTAAAACCATGATTCCTGCTCAGTCTTGGCTCTTGGGTTGAGGGCCTGGCTATTTAGTTGAGGGGAAGTTGTCTATTCCTTTTGGTGTGTTAAATCCGTTAAATCGACAAATTCTAAGAGAGCACCGTCTTACACAGGGCACTGTACAGAGGCAGACAGAGAAGTGTGGGGAAGCACATTGTTGCTGTCAGCCAGAGCTGAGTGTGTGAAGAAGGAAAGATGTGGGGCTGAAGGTTCTGAAGGCGGCTGTGGCTGCAACCTGCCGTCTGGAAGTTTCTGACAGCCCGGCCAGTCCTGCTGCCCAGCACTGGCTTCCAGCTGGTTTCTGATAGGGGCTAGTCCTCCCCTCCTTTCTAGCTTCCTCTCCAATTATTTCGGTTCTGGTTTCTGTGTCTGTGAAGAACCACTTCCTTTGACCATTCTTCTCTGCTCTGATGGGTTGTCTTCACTTACTGAGGACTTGGTCAGGACTATCTGCATCAGAATAATTTCAGGGCTTGTCAAAAATGCAAATTCCCAGACCTTGCCCAGACCTACTGAGTCAGAATATGAATCAGACTCTGCTGTGGGGGCAGAATTTGCATTTCTGATAAGGGGCGCTTGAGAGCTGTGGCATGCTAAATTTTGCGACCCCTCCCCCGCAAATGGTGTTGCGTTTGGCAGCGTGAAGATGGAGGGGGCTATGCAGAGGCCTCGCTGGGGTCCACAGCTCAGCTCTGGAGCTCAAGCTGATTCCAGGCTCCATGCTTACCAGCCTGGACTTGTTTCTGCATCTCTCTAAGCTTTGACTCCTTACAAAACACAAACAGATAATGACTGGAACTACCTATAGGGAAACTGCCTGGTGTGCAGTAGGTACTCAATAAATGTCAGCAAGTTATATTCTCATCACTACAGGAAAAAGACACAAGGTTTTTTAAAACTGTGATGATGGGAGGCCCACGCTCCCGAACCCGGACCTGTCAGTCATGTCTGAAGACTGCACGTGTTCCTGTGGGGGGACATAAGCTTGAGTGGCTGGTCCAAAAAGGAGTGGCGGGAACGTGTCTGCATGAGTCACTGCAGGGGGACCTAGAAGAGGTCTCCGGAAAGATGCCTCCCTGAGGCTGGAGATACAGGGGGATACATCAGATTGGGGCACAGGAACCCCTAACTTACCCCCAGTCCCCCAGCTCCATTCTTTCAGAACCTGATCATGAGCCCAGCAAGGCCTATGCCTCTCTCTTCTGTTTTAGTAATAGGAAAAGAAGACTGGATTAGGAGTCAGAAAATGAAGGCAAATCTTAATCTGAGTCTCTGTTTCCTCACTCGTAAAATAGAGATAATAATGCCCTTCAGTATAGTCATAAGGATCAAGAACATATTTGTAAATGCGGTAAACTTTAAGTCCTTCTGTAGATATAAGGTATTATTATTTTGAATCCTTTCTTCTTCCGTGGTTCTCTTTTTAGCCTTATTAAAAAAATAAAACCCTTTCCCTAAACCTGCTGTCCCCTCAAGCTACCTATCATTCCCCCCTCCCTTTGCTTTCTGTTTTTTTTAAATCTCTGAATGTTTCCAAAGAGGAACAGGCGAGGATGGTTGAGGAGGGTAGGTACCACGCAGCCTGGCCCCGGAGCGTTGGTCTGGAGGGATTCATACGCATGTGAAGCCGGCCGCATCATTCCAAAGACAGGCAAACAGAGACAAAAGAGCCTGGCTCCAGAGTAAGGCACAGCCATGCGCATCCTAGTTCTACCCCTTGTAAGTCAAATGTCCTGAAGCCTCCCCTGTAAAATGGGGAAGATGGGGCAATGAGACCTGCAGGATTGCTGTGAGGACTATTAGTAGAATATATAAAGCCTAGCACAGTGAAGGACACACAGTAGGTGCTCAGTAAATGCTAGTGTCTTTGTTGCACCCCTCCCTCCCAAATCCCAGCTCTATTTATGGAAACGATTGATCTCTCCCAACCCCCACCCACCTGTCCACAACAGCCCGGGAAGCAGCACCTACCCAATCCTCCTTGGGTCACAGCTGAGTTCGGTGAAACAAATTGAGCTGCACTAGATGGTGCTGGGGGCTGGGGGTTGAAAGAGGAGCATATGCTGTGTGTGTGTGTATATGTGTGTGTGTGTGTGTGTGTGTGTGTGTATGCACTGAGGGGCACAAGACAGGTACATTAAACCAATCCTTTCAATCTAATGCAGAGAGTGCACTGATGGAGTGAGCACAGGGCGTGGGAAGACAGGAGGGGCAGGGCATTCAGCAGAGGGGCCAGCTGGGAGGAGACGCCCCCAGAGGTTTAGGAAGCACTTGGAGTGTGTGGAATGGGGTGGAGGTGAGGGGAGAGAATAGGAGAGAAGGCAAGCTGAGTGCTCAGCCAGTCAAGGCAGCTTGGGACCACACAGTTCTCCCCAGAGGATCAGGATTCCTGATTCTGAAGCTCACGTGAGAGTTTCCTTCTGACCTCACCCCTGGGCTATTTCTTGGTGTTGTTTTTCTGTAACTGCTTCAAATTACCCAAAGGGTAAATATGTCTTTTGAAAAATGTTCAGTCTTTTCTTGTGTTAGTTAAAATTATAAGAGAGAGAATTTCCTCCATAATCCAGGGGTGGAGATGGAGTGGGTGCAATCAGGGGGTCCACAACCAGGCCAAATTCAAGGATGCTTGGATCCAAGTCAGGGCTGAAGGCAGTTAGGACAGGTAGAGAGTAGGGACCCAGAGGGGACAATGGAAGACAGGAACCCTTCCTGGGCATTTCTCCTCCATGCAGAAAGGCAATCCCTGACCAACTCACCACACCAATGGAGAAATAGTTGTTCATAATGCTGTATGGGACCTGGTCCCCGTTTTCCACCTCCTCTCTGGGGATGACTTCCAGATGCCAACGGTCCAGCATCACCAAGGGGCTCTGCTCAATGTCCTTCAGGATTTTTGTCAAGCTGCCCCCTTCGTAACCTGTGGATAGTGGCATTGCATTTGCCACCAGAAAAGAAAGGCCGCGTTGTTTGCTGATGCACAGGTAGCTGTCAGGGTAGGTGAGCCCATGGGCATCTGTGACCAGGGAACACACTAGTGTGTCTCTGGGCTGAAGACGCTTATGTTCTTGAGCCACAGACAAGGGGAGGACGATTGGGAGTAATTAGAAAGAGGCTACAGTGATTTGGAAGCTTGAGTAGCAGGGGGTGGGGAGAGGGTGCTGGCTAAAGGTGGCAGGCCTGTGTAGCTGAAGCAAGCCCTGGACAATTGGTGGGCTGGATGGCTGGGAAGCTCTGCATAGGAGGACAGCAGATCCTTCGAGGGCTGTGTCATGTGGGAGATGGGCAGTGTGGTAGACAGAATTTTAAGATGGCCCCTAGGGCTGCTCCTGCTCGCTCTGACCCTGCCCAGCAAGCATGACCCAATGCTGCCCTGCCTGGTCTTGAATCACTCTCTGAATTGATCAGCCATCTGGAGTCTCCGCTACTCTCTGGCTGCCAGACTAATCTGCCCGCTCCACATGTTGAGCTGAACTTCTCCACTCTCTGGAGCATGCCTAGCTCCACGGGGGCTGCTGCAGCTTGCAAAGTTCTCCTTAGTTCCTTCGAGTTGCCCTATAAGCTGGCTACACTCTGTGTTCCCCCTTAGGGTGATTTCAAAATGAAAGCCCATAGCCCTGGGGGCCTAGGATAATCTGGATGCTCCAAGCGACTCTAGGTAACTGGTGATGTGGCATTTGGGTCTGCATTCTGAGTCCTAACTCAGAAGAAGATCAGTAAGCTGGGGGAGGAGGAATTTCATATAGAAAACACCTAAGTGAGCCCCTACTTGGATGAGTGCTGGGGACAGGACAAACGAGACTCGATCTTTATCCAGAAGTTGACAATGTTCTGCGGGGGGGAGGCAGAACCAAGTGGCTGGTTTCAGGAAGACAGTAACTGTGGAGCCCAGAAGAGGCTCCTATTCCAGACTCAGCATGGAAGGAAGGGCAGAGAAAGGGTCACGGGTTAGATATGACTGCAGTGTTGAGTATTACTCTGTGAAATGTGATCCACACAAGGGTAAGTTCAGCCTGGCTCTGGGAGCATCTCTGTAAACTGGGATGCTTATCCCCAGGGTAGCGCCGCTAACTGGCAGACTCACCTCCTCCCCAGCGGAGACAACGGGCAAGGTCATTTCCTGTTCCAAGAGGCAGGACAGCCACTGGTGGATGCTTTGCCAAGTTGGCCTTATCTGTAACACATACAGAGGAACAGAGAACCGTATACCATGGGGATTACAGAATGTTCCAGTTATCTTTTTACACCTGGTCTGATTCTTGGACCCCTCCAAAGCAGTTTTGTTTAAATACCTCCTATAATGGGGATCACACTACCTCCTAAAGTCATCTATCCCATCTGCAGTGTGTTAACCACTATAAATTGAGCTAAATGTGTCACTTTGTATTTCACATGGAGCTAAATCTGTCTCCCTATAACTTGCACATGTTTATTCAAATTTCATCCTAATTCTGTCCTTTGGGGTGGCAGCATATACCCCAAAACATTAGTTCGTATGTTTTGAATCCTTAATGATAACCAGCACTTAGCCCATTTATCCCTCAGAGCAACCCTGTAGGGTATTATTCTTGTCCTAGTAGATGAAGAAAATGAGGTTCAAAGAGGGAAAGGAATTCCAGAACCAGGATCCAAAACCCAGATCTCTGTGGCCCCAAGTCCCTTCTCCTCCCTTCAGGGGCTAGGAAAGTGCATAGGTTAGTAAAACAGGTGGATCTAAGACACTAGGGAGTGGTGGGGCATTTGGAAAATTGAAGATGCTCGTTTAAAGCCATCCAAGTTTAAAAGTTTAAAAGCTAACATTGGTTAAACAAGCAAAACCCCTAGGAGTTATTTGGCACCCACATACCAGTTTGTCACTTCCACCACCTCCTAGAATTGCCAATACACAGATTCCTAATCTTTTCTCCCCTGATGGTTGTGGAGCATGTTTTCATCTGGCTACAGCAGCATGTGGTCTGGGCTGGAAAGCTGAAGAGGTAGGCACAGCGGGTGCCATTTACATAAGACCCCAGCGTGCGGATGCCCCAATGTGTACAGTGTGCTCGGGGAGAAGTGTGGCTCAGCAGGTGAGGCTCAAGCTAGGGCTGCCCCCGTGAAGTGGGAGCTCATGGGTCCTCCAGGTTGTCTGACCTGTGCCTGAAGTGGCTGAGCTCAGATAAGACGCAGGGCTGAGATTACTCCCGGAAGGGCTGAGATGGACAGTGGAGCAGTGCAATGGATGCCATCATTGATCCCAGATCAGATGATTCGAGTTATGCCTCCCTGCCTTTGCACATGCTGCTCCCTTTGCCTGGAAGGCTCTTGTTTCCTAGGTCTGCACCTTCCTCTGCGGTCCCACCTCAGCAGGTCAACCATCCCCACAACGTTGAGGCCGGACTCCTGGAGGCCATCCTAGCTTCTTCCCTCTCCCTCACCCATCCACACACACATCGCTAAGTGCTGTCTCCTAATAGATCCAGGCAGTCTCTTCTCTCCATCCCCATGGTGACGCCTGAGTGTGGGTATGATTCCTTCCCACTGGTATTGCTGCAAGAGCCTCCTTTCTGCTCTCTCTGCCTCCAGTTCCACCCTCCTCGTGTGCCTTCCACACTTCCGCCCAGGAGGGGCAATCTGTGGGCCGCAGCTCCCTCACGTTAGCCCACTGCTTTCTCGTCTGTGTGGCTCCCTGTGACCCTGTAACCTGCCATGCTAGGCCTCAGGACCCACGCTCTGCCTGTCTCCCTAGCCCATCCTCCTGCATGTCCTGCTCCCTTGCAAGTGCTTTCACTTCCTTCAATCACAGAGGTCTCTCTTGCTCAGCTCAGAAGCTGCCTCTGGGAGGCCCTCCCTGGTTGCCATGGTCTGGACCTGGAGCCTCTTCAGAATGTTTCCTTAGCACCAGAAATGACCTCCTCACACTCTCTTGCAATTGTCTACTTGTTTGTTCCGTAAGCTCCCGGAGGAGCTGGGTCTCATCCCCACAGCATCCCTCCCAGCCCCAACACCGACTGAAGCTACTGCCTGCTAGATGTGGTGCCAGATGCTGCAGCTCTGACAGCGAGCAAAACAGCCAAGGCTCATGCTCTCATGGTGCTTACAGCCCAGTGGGAGAGACAGATATTAATGAGGTCTTCATAGGGAGAATGCACCATTTCACATTCCCGTTGGAAAGGAGAGGAGAACGGTTGTATAATAAGGTGACTAAGGCCAGCGGGTATGTCAGGGGTGGCCCCTGAGGAAGCCACACTTCAGCTGAGATCTGGAATGGAAGCCGACCAAGCAAAGGCTGGGGCAACATTCTTGATGGCAGGAGCAACTTGTGCAAAGGCCCTGTGGTGGGAGGGAGACTGGTGTGCCCAAGGGTCAGAGAGGGCAGGAGTCTAGAAGGAGAGGGATGGAGGTATGGAATATGACTGGAAGGGTGGGCAGTGGCTGGCTGCCCAGGGCCCTATAGATCACCTGAAGGGCTTTTGTCTTTATCCTAATACTGGGAAGCCATTGATGTGTTTTCTCCACATCATGAAGCCACTGACATTCAGGAAAAACTGCTCTGGCTGCAAGGGAAAAACAGATCAGAGAGGGGACCACAGTGTGGCGCTGGAGAGCAGTGAACAAGGGCTCACATGGTTGTGGAACGAATGAATGAATGAACACATTATGCGGTTATTCTTTTTACCTCTGCTTTTTTTCTTTGGGCCACTAACCTGTGAAAAAACCTAACATTTCTTCCGCCTCACGGCATCTTCTTTCTTTCTGTTTTGAGCAGCTTCTATCACCTGTGTCCTCTGCAGATGAATTTGATAAAACTTATCACCAGAGTCTACTTTGTCCCTCCCGACAGAGAGGGAGCCATGCAAGTAGCCCAACACTGCAGCCCTCCACCCTCTGCGGATCGGCTGTTCCTTCCTTGGATCTGGAGGACTCCTCCCTCCTCCCCCAACTCCAGAGCCTGAGGTGACAGGAGAGTGTGGGTGGCTGCTTGGCAGGGCTGTGTCCATGGCAACCAAAGCGCCTGGGGGTGGGGGAGCAGAGGGTGGCAGGTGTGCAGCCTTCTCACCCCTCCAGGTGGTCTCCTCACAACCCCTGCAGGCCCAGCTATCCTGCCCCAGTCAGGGTCTAGTCCTGGCCCATCCTTGACTCCTCCCTTCCTCTCACCTCCCACACCCAGTCTGTCGGCAAGTCCTGCTCCCTCCGCCTCTCAAAGATGTCCAGAGGCTGGCCACTTTTCACCACCCCTCTGTTTCCACTCTGGTCTGAGCCTGGTCATCTCTCCCTTGGATGCTGCAGTGGCCTCCTAGCTGGTCTCCCGCTCCTGCCCTTTTTTCTTAACCTGTCATGTCCCTGCTTTGCTCAGAACCATCCAATGTCTTGGGGCTCTCCCCATATAAAAGCCATATTCCATATAGTGTCCTCTATGTCCCAGTGACTTGGCCCTTCATCACCTCTGCTTCATGCCCCATAACTCTCCTCACATCTGCTCTGCACCGGCCACGCTGGCCTGCCTTCAATAGCCCGGCCTGCTCCCAGCTCAGGGCCTCTGTCCTTGCTGTTCCTTCTACAGGGACTGCTCTTCCTCAGGCAGCCACAGGGCTCACCCCTCCTCCAGGTCTCCATGCAAATGTCATCTTCCCTGTGAGGTCTTCCCTGGACACCCCCACCCTGAGCCCTTTACCCCTTCCCTGCTATATTTTTATCACCTTCCGACATATCATATGTTTCACTTATTTCATTGTTTATTGCCTGTCTCTTCCCTCTAGAAGGTAAGCTCTAGGGAAGCAAATTTTTGTGTTTGTTCATTGCTGTGTCTTCAGTGCCTTGAGGAGAGCTGGGCACACACAGGTGCACAGGCAGCGTCTGTGGAATGCAGGATGGGAAGAGCGAAGCAGCCCAGGGCTCGTTGCTCTGAGCTCAGTCTCTGACTTTGATGACTGCCCTGCCCAGTGCTTCCCTTGCCTGCTTTCCTGGTCTTGTGTTCCACGTCGCAGTGTTCATCTGGGTTCTCTAGGGTTAGATCTTCAGTACGTCCCCATCCCAGAATTGCACAGTCAGTGTCCATCACTTACTGGGGCCGATGTGTCCAGGGATCTGCAGATCCAGGCAGAGCTGGGCTAGAATTCAGGCCTCCAGATTCCCAGCCTGGGCCCTCCCTGCTGCCCTTTTTATTTAAGTGTATCGGACCCAGCCCAGTGTGGCCCTCTTTGCTTGCACTGATCTGCACTTTCCGGATGGGCTTTCTGGACTGAGGCTCTAGGTGTTCATCTCAAGGTGATTTGCCCCAGGCTATGCATCTATGCTGCCATCTCTGACTTTGACCCACCACGGATCTGCCTGGAGTCCCAGTCCTATCCCTACCACCCCCACCTCCTACCAAATCTGGTCTGTCCTGCCACTGCCCAAACTCCAGCCATGACAGATATGTTTCTGAGGCAAGGCCTGAAGCCAAACTGTTATCTCTGTATCTGTGGGAATCTTTCCATTGTCTTATTTCTTCATTTTTTTTCCCACCCAAAGCAGATATTTAGGCGAGCATTGGTCCAAGGGTGGATACAAGGATGAACAAGACGTGGCTCCACTCCTCTTTTTTTATTGCCTTCTGCTGACTTTAAATATACTTACTATAAATAAACAGTAAAGGCCCTCCCAGCCCATGCTTACCAATGCAATCCAAAATCCAGCCAACTGTCCCATCTCCTCCGCAGGCTAAAACACGGAAGTCTGGAGTATCACGGAAAAAGTTCAATCTGGGAAGGAGAAGAAAGGCTAAAATGGGCCTGTTGACTAGGGTGTGGCTGACATTTGATCCTTGTTGAGTCAGAGTCTCCCCCGTTCCCTAAAGGGACGTTAAGACGTTGATTCCTTTTGGGGTCGAAAGGGTCTCTTAACATTCCGAAATCGGAACTTAGGCTGCGGTGCCATTGAAGATGGAGGAAAATCCCAGGCGGCTCCTTGTATACGGAGACTCTGACTCAGCATTCAACACAAACAGAAAACGGTTTTCTAGAAACTCTCTGCTAGTTGTGCAGAGGGATCCAGAGTTTGTGACCCTTTAAGCTGAAGGTCAGTACTTAACCTTTAGAGCAGGGCTCTTCACCTGAGGCCCATCAACCTCCCAGGGGTCTGTGGATTCAGAGGGCCATGAACTTGGAGGAGAAAACATTACATTCTTATTTCTCTAAGCTCTAACTGAAATTTAGCATTTCCTTCAATTACGAATGTAGGCAACAAATCACAGAGATACTAATGAGACCTGTGACTTTGTCGGCAGTCAGTATTGCAACTGTGTTAGTGTTTTACTACAGCATGGCAGATCTTGTTTCTGCTCCTCACTGCTTAGCATTTACAGTAGTTATTAGACCTGCTTTGGGATCTTGTTATTTAATGTGCTGGTAAAGCACAACTATTCCCATATCACAGATTTGTTTTTTAATGTCTTAATAACTGTTTTTCAATATAAGTAGTATTCCTGGTTATCCTATATTATTTCATTTTATGCATTAAGAAATATTATTCCACGAAGGGGTCTAATAGGCTTTACAGACTGCCAAAGGGTTTCCTGGCTGACATTTGATGCTTGGTGAGTCAGAGCCTCTGCTTTAGAACGAATGTAACCTGCGGACACCTGGGGGTGGGACTTGGGAAGCTGAAGGTCAGTACTTCCCCTTTGCTCAGCCTGGTGGTCTGAGAAGACCCCTGGGGTTCTCGGAGTCACAGATGCACGTGTAGGAAAATTAACATTCCTTCTCTTCCACTGCTCATACAGAACTCTGCTCTCCTACGGGATGTGAATTCCCCAGGAGGCTCCCTTTGCTAGACAGCCATCTGATCACAGAGTGACATGCACATCAGAGACACCCAGGGCACATCAGGCCTGGAAGTAGACACCTGCCTTGTCATCCAGAGTGAAAACAATTTAGAATGGATGTGGTTAAGCTAGAGGACTGTATTCGAGTATTGTGAGTGGGCTTTAAAGGTGCCTGTGGGTGGCTGCTTGGTCACAGGCTGTGCTACACAGCAGCAAATTGCAGTCACCGCGACTGTGATGGCAACCGCAGCAGGACAGGTGGGCTCTGTTCTGAAATTAGTTTTACAAGTAAATCATGGCAAGAGTCCTGAATTTGCACTCACGTTTCTTTCTCCTTTGAACTGGATCTTGTACTATCACTGCCATAAATAACAGTTTTGTGTCAGACATCCAAAGATGGGGTCAAATTCCCTTTTTCCCAGAAGGGCTGGTCCTTACTCAGCCCTTCTGAGGGGTCTTGCTCAACCCGGAGTAGAAATTCCGGCTAGGAGGTTAGGTAAAGCGGCCTTGTGCTGGGAAATCGCAGCCCAGCCTGTGCAGAGACAGCCCCGGGGCCGGCACTGGCCAGCAGATGGCTCTAGTGCGCCGGCTCTGGCTGGGAGGAAGCCAGCCTTCCCAGCCTTCCAGCCACGTGCTGGAGGGGCCTGGATTACAGGGACCCGCAGCTCACCACGTTAGCCGCCGGCACGGGCACCGGCTCCTCCCAGCGGACCCCTGGGCAGTGAAATCGCCAACAGGCAAGTGGCAGGAGGAGAAGGGCTGGGAGGAGCATAACAACCTCAAAATTGGAGAATCCAGAAAAGAAAAGCGATTCTCCCGAATAACCAATTGTCTTGATCCTAAAATGTCCCCACAGCAGAATACACGGCAGAACTCTGAGTCACTGCACAGATTTCCAAACTGCTGACTGACAAGTGATAAGAAAACTCTTTCTCCTTCCTGATGATTCAGTAGGACGATACCAGCTAACGCAGCCTTGCAAATAAGTTAAAATAATTTACCAGCCTGCTCTTCCTGTCGATGAAACCAATGGTATGTGCAGTTTTCCCCTCTTACAAAATCAACGACTTTTTCTGGGATCAGGTCTAAGAGGGCCATAGTGGGTGTCCCAGGTATGTCCAGGAGTAAGAGTAGGATGTGAGAAAAAGAAGAGAAAAGGGGGCAAATGGCAGGAAGGACAAGTCGAGAGATGAAAGATGAAAAAGGTGCTGAAAGAAGAGTATCTTCATTAGAGATTAAAAGGGTGCGGGGAAATAAGGGGTAACGATCGTTATCTTCATACCCTGGAGTAGGCCCCCCGTTGTCCAGGCTGAAAACTTGTTTGGGGTTGAGCAGATAGTGGAATTTCCGAAGAATTCTATGGGGAAAAAAAGAAAAGGAGGGAGAGAGAGACAGACAGACAGACAGAGAGGGAAAATGTCATCGTGGGAAGTCACATTAGGGCAAACACCTCTTTAAGATCCATTTAAACTTGAGAAAGGAGGATGATGCACGAAGACCCTGGCATCATCCATGTTGTGTCCCCCTGGTTCAAGGTTGTGCCACCATTCAAGGCTCTACCCTCTAACCCCAGGAGCATCGCCTCTTACGGAGAGGACAGGGCAGAGAAATCTAGAGGACAGACCTTTCATTCCAAAGCTTTTTCCTCCACAGAAACCTTCCAAATGTTCTGTATGGTCTAGGCAGGGTGATTCTGCCCTTTGTGGACGGTGTGGAGGCATCAAAGCACCCTAGAGAGAGGCCCCCCTGCAGACCCAGGAGGAGGAGGAAATGCAGGAGGTGGGGGTGGGGCAGGGAGGGCTGAGAGGCAGTGGCCACAAGGAGGCTTGGTTTCCAGCCTCCAGCTTTCGACTAATCAGGTTAGTTGGGGAGCCATGTCCTGCCCTTGGGGTGGGGCTCCTCACAGTTCTTGCTTTAACCCTACTAATCATTATTTTTTTAGCCTGGATTCCAGATCACTGTGCCAAGTGTTCATCGCCCCAGAACTAAACACTCCTGGGCTGGGGACAGAAGCTGCCGTACCCCTTCTCCCTCTCCCCTCCCACCCTGTTTAGCAGTCTCCCGCTACCAGCAAACGAATGAGGTGGATGCCCTGCCTTTGCAGGGGTGGGTGTGGCCAGGAGGTCCTCATGAGTGGGCCCCGCCACATCTCCAAGAAAAGACTTGGGAAGCTGGGAGGGAACAGGCATCTCAGAACTTGGTTTGACCCTGGGAGCTTTAATGATGACTCAAGTGGCAGGCCCATGTCTATTCTCATCCTCAGAATAACCCTGTGAGAGGAGGAATTATTATTAATTTTATCCCCATTTTGCAGAGGAGGAAACGGAGGACCAGGGACATGAAGTCACTTGGGCTAAGTACTAAAGCGGCAGGTGGCAGTGCTGGGGTTGAGTGTGCCTGTCACCACAGCCTGCTCTGTTATGGTTGAGGGGAGGAAGGGCCCAAATCTTGAAAGAGAAGAGAGCATACCTTTCTCCTTGTCTCCCTCCACTCTTGGGGTTCACCAAGACCAGCAGAGGGTGGGTACCCGGGGTGGGGATGATCTTATACTTAAAAGGTAAAAGAAAAAGAAGTTAGCTCGGATTCATTCAGCAGGAGGGATGAGATGGGAGTTGATGCCAAGACAGCTTTAGAGAGGTGATGGGGATGGTCCCAGGCATGCAGGAGAGGAGGTTAGGCTGGCAGGTCTTTGTCCACTGGCTGAGATTTCTGACGGACTAAGCAGCTAAGTGTCTCTAGCTTGAGTGGCCTTTAGGTAGTGCCAATGGCAATGAGAATTTGAGGTTGGGGTCAGAGATGGGACAATGCTGTTGTAGCTTCAAGTCATTCAACAACGGTGTGGCATTGTGCCCACAGCACAAGATTACATTTTGTGAGAGACACAACTGAATACCATGTTAGGAGGTATGGCCATCTGGTCATGCACATAAATAAAATAACACTCATAGAGTGAACCATCACTTCCACTCTGACACCTTCTGAGTGCACATTTCCAGCCCCAATTTTCCTCCTGAGCCCTGGTCCCACATTGCTCACAGCCCACTGAGTACCTTCAACTGGAAGGCTCGCCATCAGTACGAACTCAACATGCCTCAAGCCTGACCCATCTTCCCTCCCCAGAGCACTCCTCCTCTCTCCTGGCATGCTGTTTCTGTCAAAGGTGCTATTATTCATTCAGTCATCCAGGGAAGATCCTGGCCTGCCGAGCCTTTCCCTGGAATGTCCCTTTATCTCTGGCAGCCGTCACAGTCTCATGCTGCTCAGGCCTTTCTTAGCTCAGGTAAGTCTTATCTGCTGCCCCCATGCAATTTCTTCCCAGGATATCAGGTCAGCCACGCCACTCCTGCTTAAAAATGTTTAATGACACCTCATTGCCCAGAGGATAAAATCCAAATCTCCTAACCTGGCAACCAAGGCCTTTTCAGTCCAGCCCCATTCTGTTGCTACTTCCTAATTCTTCCTAACCTCAGCTGCAGGTCCAGCCAAGCCCTGCCCTTGCTCTTCTAGTGAACGAGTCTCCTGCATTCCTACCATGTGTCTGCTCATGCTGGTTTCTCTTGCTGCATGCCTTGAGAGGCCCACTTCCTTCTTTGTAACCTCTTAAAAAACGTCTTATCTTCAAGGTCCAATTCAAGAGCCTCCTCCCCTATGAAGTTTCCCATGGTCACTGCAACTAAAACTATTGCACTTAATATATGTATTATCTTCTGGAGTTTCTTTTCTTGTTTATTTGTATTAATATTTGTTTTTTACTTTGTTAGGTAAATGTCTCGAGACATCAACTGGATTTTAAATGCACCAGGAGCAGGATGGGAGTGTGTGTATAACCCTCCTACCAAGGACCCCATAGCACCAGATGCAGGAGTGGATGCTCAATGAATATTTCTGGATTCAGTTGAAGGACACTGATGCAGAGATGCAGCTCTGCTCCATGCTCACTATCTAATGCCTGCTTTTCCAGATCTCAAACTAGAGATCCAGAAAACACAGTGCCATGTTGTTTGAAAAGGACAGAAGAATTCTTCATGATTTAAAAAAATTCTCTCAACTGCCTAGCCCAGGGTGACTGTTCATGTGACACCCAAAAGTATCTTGGAGGCTGAGGAATAATCCCTCACCTCTGGGAATGATGTTCAAAACATTTAACAACCAACCTGTAAGCATGGGCACCGCCCAGTCGGAACAGATGCAGGACAAGCAGATGGATGCCTGCTGTAAACAGCTGGCATGCCTGCGTCAGGGCGCGCACGTGTGTGTGTGTCCACCTGACTTTCTGCACTTCTGGGTGTCTAGAGCCTTCTCACATATTGAGTTTCTCCCATCATCAGACCTGATGTTTTAATTTTTAATACACGCTAATCTGCATGTTCTTATTCAGTCTTGCAGCACCTCTGGAAGGTGGGCAGTGCAGGAATCGCTACAGTCCCCTTGCGAACAAGGAAACTTAGGCTCGGGGGCAGATGAGGAGGCCCTGGTTTCCTCTTCCCTTTTCTAGTACTCTTTGTACCTCATCAGGCTGCCTCTCCTGCATTCCTTGGAATTCTGTGTAAGGCACAAAAAAAGATGTTCATTGGCGAATCCAAGTAAAAATGAGTTCTTAAATATATACACACATAGGGATTAAGAACTTTTGGATCTGGTTAGCTTCATTTTAGCAGATCATGTTCTGGAGACAGCTTGGCAATCTTGGAGAGCCCATTGTCTATTTTTAGGCCACCTTTTTGTTATTATTTAAGAGGTTTGCATATTAAAGTTTTATGTAACTTGTTCCTAAAAAGGTGATCAAGTCGATTAGACCAGCAGTGGGACCAGCCAGTCTCTCCTCTCACCACTTGCTGACAATGTGGTGGTCAAAGGTAACTCCAGAGGCCAGAAGTAAACTGTCTTCCTGTGTGAGATAATTGGTCAGATGAGAAAGCACATGCTGAGATACATTTCTCCAGAACCCAAACCCCGTCCTCCCTGCCACAGCCTTGGAACGACTTAGAAAGAGCTGGGACTCGGCATCATGGCGGTACCTGCATTACAAGCTCGCCCTTGGCTGGCACGCTGCCGTCGGACTTCCCACTTTGCTTGTCCTGTGAAAAGAGACCAAAGACAAGCATCTTTTGGTGGGGGGAAGCCTCAAATAAAGAAAGAGAGCAGATCAAAAATAAATGGCTGATAGAAAGAAAGAGATCAGAAAGTCAGTACAGTGTGGAGAGTTTTTTTTCAAGGTGGGGCTATGGACCTAAAAACAAACATGCAGAACTATGAGTTTTTCTAGGACTCTCCAAGCCTCTGTCATCACTTGCTCTGACTTTAACTTTGCGATACTGGCAAGGGACATGAGAGGAGGGGTGCCAAAATTGCTAGAATTTTAGTTTGTTGATTTAGAAGCTTGAGCTCTGAGAAGCAAGTTCTTAGACTTGGCTTCTCTGCTCAGCAGTATCTAATGATGTGATATTAAGTCATTTTTCCTGGTTTTGTTTTTCCTATTTTTTTTCAATGTTTGTTATTTATTTTATTGAGGGTTATCTCACATATAGCAAAATCTCAAATCTAAATTGCACAGCTTGTTGAATTTTGTGTACGTATATGCCCTTGTAACTACTATCTCTTCAAGCATAACTCTGTTATGACTCCTGATACTGTACTGGTTTTGCCTGGCTTTTGAACTTCATACAAATAGAATCATAGAGCATATCTTCTTTTGAGTCTAGCTTCTTTTGTTCACTATTATGTTTTTGAGATTCTCCATGTTTTTACATCTATGCATAGTTCTTTTCCATTGCAATGTAGTTTTCTAGTATATGAATACCACATGCCTATATGCCTCAATTTATTTATCTAGTCTCCTGTTAATGGTTATTTAGCTTGTTTCCAGTTTTTGACTGTTAGGAATAAAGTAGGATATGAACATTCTTGTACATGTCTTTTGGTGGAATTAATGCTCATATTTCTCATAGATACACAGGAGGAGAATTGATGGGTTATAAAGTTTGTATATTTCCAATTTAGTAGATACTGCCAAATGGTTTGCCGAAGTGGTGGTTTTTCTTAGTTTTTTTTTTTAATTTTAATTTTTTTTTTTTTGAGACAGAGTCTCACTTTGTTGCCCGGGCTAGAGTGCCGCGGCGTCAGCCTAGCTCACAGCAACCTCAAACTCCTGGGCTCAAGCGATCCTTCTGCCTCACCCTCCCAAGTAGCTGGGACTACAGGCATGCGCCACCATGCCCGGCTAAATTTTTCTATATATTTTTAGCTGTCCAAGTAATTTCTTTGTATTTTTTTAGTAGAAATGGGATCTCGCTCTTGCTCAGGTTGGTCTCGAACTCCTGAGCTCAAGCGATCCACCCGCCTTGGCCTCCCAGAGTGCTGGGATTACAGGCGTGAGCCACCACGCCCGGCCTTTCTTAGGTTTTTAATGAGAAAGAAGTAGCTGGTCAATCAAGGATGAGATGTGAGGAATCAGCGGGACTTTGCAACATTTTTAAGATGGGAAGAGCGCAAAGTTAAAAAGTGTTTGGTGCTCATTTAAAAGAGGAGTCTTCAACATAGGCAGATATGTTTCAGGTGGGGAGAAAAGGAGTTTAATTTTTCTGCTTTCATTTCCAAATAGGGCTGAGACACCAAAGTGGAAACTCTCGAGGCAGAGGGAGATCCACGTTTGGACACAGGAGAGAGGCTGACGGGGTTGAGGGAGACTGAGCCCAGCCGCGTGCAGATGGCAACTGAGGTTCCTTTAGCTGCACTCTGCCTGCACGGGGCTCAGGACAAATGTGCTTTCCTCGATGGGCTGTTTCAGAGTGTTTGGTGGCTAGGATTTGGCACCAGTTTAGTCTGAGAAATTTTCTCTTGCAATCCAGCCAGTGCAGCGCTGATGTACTGAAAACACAAACCGTAAGAGCTGTCAGAGAAGCCTTCTGAGGGATGTGAACATCTGAATGCTGTCTACATCTGAAATGTGAACCCGGAGAAGCCAGAGCCCTGGTTGGGGCAGGAGCACTTACCCGGGTGATAGGGCATATTGAGGTGGGCAGTAAAATATGGTCTCTGAGTTCCCCACCGTCACACGATGTTGACAATTCACATTTGCGGTGAAACTGGAGAAAGAAAAATGAAGGTGAGAGTGAGTGAAAGTGATCAAAGAAATACCAACTATGAGGATTTAGAGCTTTGCTGGGCAGGCAAACTGTCTAGTGGCCCCCAAATCCTGATGCACTATTGGCTTTAGCAGGATCACCGAGTGTGTGTGTGTGTGTGTGTGTGTGGCCAGTAGTGCCAAGAGTTGCCCATGGTTATGACAGCAAAACAGTCATGAGCAGGCCTCGGCCCTTCAGTGTGGTACCCTCATGTTGATGCCAGAGCCCCCATTGGATATCTGCTCCCCAGGCTCTGAGACTCTGGCAGGAAGGAGATCTCCATGAACAACTCATGGGAGGCTAAAGTAAACCCCATGACTCAACCTCTGCATTTTGAGAGTTCTGCAGGCTGGTTTGGAGAAACTTCCTTTTTGCAGCTGATACCTGGTCAGGGGGACAAGAGACAGCACTGAGTTTTCTTTGGTGGGCAGGTCAGGCAGCTCACTGGCTGCTGGCAGTGCTCCTGGTGTCCAGAGGGGCTGTGGACTCTAGTGTGTGCTGCAGCTCTGGCAGCAGGTCCAGGCCTCTCACCCAGGCAGTGGAGCCGCCTTCAGGAATGTGCCTTCAGGCGCTTGTTCCTCTGACACTTCTGGTGTCTAATTCCTCTCCCACTCTGTCAGTGTTCCCAGTCCCAGGTGATACCCAGGTGATGGAAGTTCATGGTCTGGCCTGCTGTTCCCAGATGCCAGGCCACACAGACAGTGGACTGGCCAGCTTCTTCTTAAGCAGCCCTCGCCCCCCTGGTTCTGGGGGTGCCTTCTCTCTGGGTAGCTTGGTGATACACTGGAGCACTGTTAGGGCATTTAATGGGGGCTCTGGGGCCCTCCTAGCCTCACTCCCCTGGTTCTGCTCATGCCCTCTGGTGGGATGTTCACTGCTCCTGGGCTGCAGCTTGACCAAGCAAAGAACCACACTGAAAAGAAGCAGGGCCGCCTTGGGCGCCAACCCACCGTCATCCGGCACCACACGCAATGCCGTGCAGTGACACTCTGGTAGCACTTGATACTTTTGTGGCATCGGTCACACTTGACAGAGGAGTTCCCTTCCACCCATGCGTGCTGCATCACCTGCAGGAGGGAAGGGAAGGGTACCAGGGGAGGCGGCAGAACCATGCCCCGGGGCCCTGGGCTGGAGGAGAAGGGGAGGGGGGAGCCAGAGGAGCTGTTTCCTGTTAGGGGATGGTTATTGGATGCTGAATTGCTTTGCTGTGGTCTCTCCCTGCCTAAGCACCATGATGCTAATCATGGTAGATAAAAACCCTCTTTGCCTGCTTTTGAACAGCTCGTTCACCCTTGCAGGCAAGCCTCCTAGCAGCATCTTGTCTGGCAGTCCATCTGTCTATCTTGCAGAACTCCTTGCAGAGTGATGTGCTTTCATGCGCCTTCTTCTGGAAGGCAGCGTGGTGCAGGGGAGCTCTGGAGGGCTTGAGTGGGCTGCAGACAAAACTGGCTGGAGTCACTTGCAGAGGGGTGATATATGGCCAGTTCCTGGTCCTCTCTGAGTCCCAGGTCCCTCATCTGTAGAAATTGGCATAATAAGTCCCTCCTTGGGGGTTGTTGGGAGAAGGCAATGAGATAGTACACTTGGAAGGGTCTGCCTGGCATAGTCCTGGCCCTTTGGAGGTTCCACTGTTGGGTAATTTTCTTCCCCCTACTCAGCCTTATCTGCCCATTAGAACCATCTGGAAAGATTCTAGAAGTCCTAATGCCCAGCCCACACTCCAGATCAAATAAATTGAAGCTCTGGGGGTGGGACCCTTCATTAGCATGTATTAAAGCACTCTGGGTGACTATAATGTGCAGCTAAGATTGAGAAGCACTTTAGAAGGAAGTTTGAAAAAACATCTAAAGAAATTAGTGAGGGTCCACCGGTGCCTTTCACACCTGTTTCCTGGAGAGCTGGCTGTATCTGCTCCCTGGCCAGGAAATACCACCAAGGCAGACTAAGAACTTGCAAGCTGGGAACGTCTTTGCATTTGTGTGTCAATGCAGCTGAAATGATAGCAACTGACTCATGACACCACTATCTGGGAGCCTCAGCTCTTGATTCTCTCCCTCTAGAATTCTACAGAACTTCTCAAAAACACCCACCAAGGTACTCTGAATGGCAGAAGGAAGTGAATATGGACTCTAGGGGATTGCGGGGGCACAGCTTGAAGTGCCCAACTGCAAGCACGGTATTAAAAATACATGAAATATTTGCATGATACTATTCATGTTTATATTAAATATGAATAAATGTTTTAAATGACTTAGCAATTAAGCTGCTTAACACCTCCCCTCAGGATGTGTTTGGTAAAATTATTGCTACAGGAGATGTGTCACATTTGGTTTGTAGCTTCTCACCTCTGCCTTGCACTCCTGAGGGTTTAAAGAACTCAGTTTGTTAATCAATTTGCCATCTACATGGTCACATTGAATTTGCTCTGAGATTATTATCATTTCCATTTTTCAGACGAAAAAATGAGGGTTTGGAGAGGTTAAGTGACTGGTCCTAGGTTCTAGGCTTGGTGGCGGCCAAGTAGAGACTCATAGCCAGGGCTTCTCCTCCAAGTCCAGGGCTATCCCCCCAACACCATGCTGCCTTCCCTGTTCTCTTGGGGATCTGAAGAGATGGTAAAGGACTTGGTTTGCCCCTGCAGGCTCAGAAGGTTGCGAATGTGCCCTGTCGGCCCCTCAGTGGCCTTGCTATGTTCTCTGTGTGGCAGGTGGCCAGAGCGCAGGCTTAGGGCCTGAGCCCAGAAGGCACACCGTGTGTCCCGGTGAAAGGCATGGACATGGAGAGGTGTGTATGCGGGTGGTGCAGAAGGAGCAGACAGGAGGCCATGCTGAGTCCATGGGGCATGCAGACGCGTCTGAGGAGGACCTTTCTCTCCCAGGAGTCCTGCGGGAGAGCTGGGTACCACTCACTGAGATTACTCAATGGAATCCTCCCTCTGCAGGAAGGCAAAGTGCCCTTCCTCTGCTAATTTTATATTTCCAGACTGGGCATATGGCGCCACCCAATGGCCAAGTTAGAAACCTGACAGCCATTCCCTGCCTCGTCCCCTCTCTCATCCTCTGCTTCCCCATCACCAGGTCCTGTTGGTGGTACCTCCAAATCTCGTCTCAAACTCTCCCTTCATTTTCTCTACCTGAGCCAATAACTGGCACGGCCTGGGGCACACTCGGCACAGACCATGCTGCAGTGGGTGAGTGTGCCCCCACCCCTGTCGGGCTCTCGGCGCAGCATTACCTTTCTGCCTCAACTACTGGAAGAATTTTCCCCCTCTGATTTTCTTCCTATGTCACGCTCAGAGAAATTAACCTGATTTGCAACCTCAGTTATAGCTTCATGTACTTGAAGCTCTTCAGTCGCCCCTTGGCTGCATGGGAAACCCCTTTCTAAATGCTCTGGCCACACAAGACTTTCTCCGGGCTGATCTCACCAAGTTCTGAGTACATCTCCTGCCACTTCCCTTTAAGCATCCCCTGTCCCAGCCGTACCAAGCTCAGTGCGGATCCCAGAACAAGCCATGTCTCCAGGCCTTTACACATGGGCCTTCTTCTGCCTGGAGTGTCTTGTCCCCCAAGTCTCATGAAGGCTTCCTGATTTGTGTTCAAGAGGCAACTCAAATGCCACCTCCTTTGAGAAACTTTCCCTGGCTTCTCCTTTGTGCCTCACTGTACATTCCACACGGCCCTATTATTATGGCATACTTCTCGCTACTTTGCACTTTGCTTACATGCCTGTCTCTCCCCCTACACAGCAAAGTTCCTGAGCAGGCCGGGAGCCATCTCTTATAACCTATGTGCCCCTCAGCTTGGTGCCCGGCATGTGGTGGGCACCAGGCAGATGCTGAATGGATTGATGGATGAACAGGATGGTTTAAGGGTGGTCCTCCAGGCAGAAAAGGGACTGAATAAAGCTCTCAAAGCCCCTTCCTGCCCAGGAATCTGTGGTGATGGACATGTTGCCCAATGTAGCATGCAATAGAACAAGGCAGTAGTTGTCACCAACCTCGCCGCTCTTTTTGGTTTTTGAGTATGTTTTGACGCATCCTGGAATGTTTTTGGATACACAGCGTTCGTGGACAGTGTATTTACAGTCTGAAAAAAAATAAGAAAGGTGCTTGTGAGTGTCCAACTAGGAAAGGCCCAGCCACCCTGCACCCCAGCCAAGGCCTGTACCTCCTTCTGGATGGCCAGTGAGAGGCAGGGGACACATGGAGCTAGCTCTCCTAATGGAGATTAAGACAGTCCCTGGTTGTTCCTGGAGGAGAGAGTCCCTGGGCACCTCCAGTCATGCTTCTGTACCTCTCCCCCACCACACTGCCTTCCTCCATGGGAGTGAACGCAGCGGGAACACATCCCAGAAAGGTGCGGTCACAGGGGACACTGGTGAGAGGATGGGAAACCAGGGGGTCTTTGGGGTTAGGCAGGTCCAGGCCTGATCTCTGGTCCTGCCATTTGTGACAATCCACATGACCTAAATTGCTTCACCTCTCTGAAATTCAGTGTTTTCTGTAAAATGGGAATAAAATAGCCTCTCTTTTTCTCTGCAGGCATTTTGCAGTATTAAATGAGATAATTTATGTAAACCACCATGGGTCTGGGTCAGAGTAGCTATTCCACAAATTACAGTGGTTGTCGTCACTGCTATTATGCAAACAGCAGAGGCCCACAGGCCTACAACTTAACAGAAATGAGACTGTGTCGGTGAAACGTGAGTGAAGGCTGGACTTGAACAGGTGCCGGAAAGACTGGCGGTGGAGCCCTTCTTTCGCCTGCTGGTGCTTGCTCTCGGTGGGCAGTAGGCCCGGCTCTGCCACAGTGGCTTTTGCGGCCGAGGTGGCTCTCTGCCTGTCACACGTGCACATCATATGAAACTCCCGACCTGGACCACAGCCGAGGGGCCTCCCTGCGCTGCAGTTCTGCAGCCTCTGGAGGGCGGGTTCAGGCCGAGCGTTTGCTGCTGGTCATGGGTGGCTGGCAGACTCTGCGCGCCTGCGCACGCAGGCCCCTGCGAAGCCTCCTCCTGATCCCCTCCCTTCCTACGTCACCCCTTCTCTCCCTCCTTCCTCTTCATCTCCCTCTTGTTCTCCTTTCCTGTCTCCCTCTCTCTTTTTTCTCTTATCATTTGTCTTTTTTTTCTCCTTTCCCCTCTGACTTTACTAAATGGATTATAAAGTAAAACAAATGTACAGTTTTAATTTTCATTGCATTTACAGGATATAAAACATGTTGTTTATTAATTTAAAAAAACCCAGGTTCCTCTGAACACACCTGGAGTACACGTTGACTCAAAAACCCCACTAAAATTAGTATGAGATGTTTTTCTAATAATGTGTGACATTAATAGTTTTTTCTAGGGGGTCAGTGCCCATGACAGGATTCCATTTGACTTGGGTAAAGTAAAAACAGGACATACAGGTCTTTATTCCCTGCTGTTGGAACAATATGGGTGGTCCCTCATGCTAGGAAGCAGAAATACCTAGATCTTCCCTGAAATGGATCCACCAACCACATGAAGAACAAGATCGTGCCTGGGGAAAGGGGACAGAAGGAAGGTCACTCACAAATGCAGCACAGGCCTTGCTTCCGGACACCCATGAGCATGATGTGGCAGAAGCTGCAATAGGTTGGTTTCTTGAAATGCTTCATGGTCCAGGCGTGCCTCCCGTCCCCCTTGGAGCCCTGCAGGGGTAGTGGGAGGTGAGACCCTGAGCTGGCAGCCCCTCGCTAGAGGAAGGCCAGGAACGCCTCTCCTATGTTCTTCCTTTTTCTAAATAAGACCCTCTTCTCATATTTGGAAGACAAGTAACTCTTATTTTTTACCGTTTTAAATACATATCAAAACAATGTTCGTTGTGTGTATTTTTCTAAAATTAGCAAATACTAAAAACAAGGGACAACCTGTGGGAGTATGTATGTGTAGGATAAAACAAGCCCTCTCCTACATGGGTAGCAGCCGTGTAAATGGGAACAATAGTTCTGTCTGTCTATCTGTCATCTCTCTCTCTCTTTCTACCTATCTCTAGCATCTTTCGATCTAAAGATCCTTTAAATGTTTACAACGTTTGACTTACAAATTTCCCTTCCTTAACTCCCAAAGAAATACATTTTAAAAGACAGATGAGCATTTTTGTTTCTGTTAGATGCTTAACCTAGCATTATTTATTTATTTACTTATTTTTCTTTTTTGAGACAGAGTCTCGCTCTGTTGCCCAGGCTAGAGTGCCGTGGCGTCAGCCTAGCTCATAGCAACCTCAAACTCCTGGGCTCAAGCAATCCTCCTGCCTAAGCCTCCCGAGTAGTTGGGACTATAGGCACACACCACCATAGCCGGCTGATTTTTTCTATATATTTTTAGTTGTCCAATGAATTTATTTCTATTTTTAGTAGAGACAGGGTCTCGCTCTTGCTCAGGCTGGTCTTGAACACCTGAGCTCAAACGATCCTCCCACTTCGGCGTCCCAGAGAGCTAGGATTATAGGCGTGAGCCACCGCACCCGGCCACAGCATTATTTAAAATAAGGAAAAACTGGAACTGTCCTACAGGTCTCAAAATTACCAAAAGGTTCATTGTGGTACATTGATATGACTCAATGTTAGGTGGCAATCAAAAAGATATTTATGAGAATAATGGCATGGGAACGTGCTCATGATATAACGCCAAGTGAAAAAAGCATAATGCAAATTTGACAATATGTTCTGATCTCGGTTTCATATAATAAGATCTTTGATGGGAAGAAATTCCACTAACTATTAACAGAGGTTAGCTATGGCTGGCAGCACTATGGATTTATTTTATTCTCTAATTTCTACTTTCTTCTTCAGGTTCCAATTTTTCTACAATGAGTATGTACTAGTGTTATAATCAAGAAGAGAGAGTTTTGTAAACACAGGGTACTCTTACCAACTTTCTGTGCACAGATAAAATAATAAAAAGACAGAGACAGAGAGAGGGTGAAACCATTTCCTCCTGACTTGGCTCTGAAGTGAAATCCTCCTCACCCCTGGGTAAGCCAAGCCTCACACAATCGCACACCTTCCCTGGAACACCATGTGTCCCACCTCCCCGCGGCGCAGGGGAGCACAGCCTGGCTGGAGGCCGTGGCTTCAGGAACTTGCCTCCCGCCTGTGCTATCCCTGGACCACAGACTCCATCACCAGAGCAACATTCTCGGGCTGGTTTTACAAGCAGTAAAAGCTACTGCAATAAGGTGATGAGGAGAAGTGGTCAGGGACATAGCGTCCAGTGTGCCCGACTCAAATCCAATTCTTAACTTGTGAGGCACTTCTGCATTTGGGCTGGTCACCACAGCCAGACCTGGTCCTGTGTCCAGCCTTCTGCTGTGATCTCCAGAAGTGCCCACATTCTTTTCCAAAGGCTGGTCTCCTCCTCTAGGCCAGGTTAAGCTCTTTTCTTCTCACACCTCGAAACCCTACTTCTTCTAAGATGTGAGTTTCATAGAACTGAAACCCTTTTACGTGAAGGTTTAATAAATAGATTCCACTTTAGTAAATAGCTTCACAAATTGATGATGATTTCTCAAAAGACTGATTCACTCATTTGACAAACATCTACCTCAAAGGATTTTTGTAAGAATGAAATAGATAATGTAAGGAAAGCTCCTAATCCAATGTCTAACACACTGTAAATTAAAATTTATTAAGTTCCCACTCTGCACCAGACACCGTGGGGCACAAAAATAACCAAAGAGTATTTACATGTAAGGAGGTGGATGTATTCCTATTCTAGAATGAGAAACAGAGACTCAGAGAAGTTATATAATTAGCCCAAGACCTCGCAGATGATGAGTGACTGAGCCGTAGTCAAAGTGGGGCTCTTGCTGGTCCCAGAGCTCATGCTCCTTCCATCCACAAACCAGAGTCTTCTTGTATGCACAGATGGGAAATTACAGGCCTCTTCAGAAGACCCGGCTTCTTTATGTAGCCCAAAGGACTGTCCTTTTATCTCAAAATATTAGCTGAGTCAATTAGCCACCCCCTCCTTTCTCAGCTACTATTTTTATAGATTCAAGATAAGAAGCAAATGGACCGTGACTCCGGATGCAGCAGCATTTCTGCTTGGGTTATAGCACCATCATGTGGCTCTTCCCTTCCTGCACGGTGGAGGCTGCAGAGCGTGGGCGTTACCTTCCTTACGCACGTCAGGGTTTGAACTGCTACTACAATTTCACCGGGAGAAAGATTGCTTTCATATATCCCACTCGGAGATTCCCAGACTCTTGCAGCGGTTGAAAGTGGATTTTGAAAAAGCCAAACAAGCAAGAGGACTTTTAAGACACTGATGGGGGCTTTCTCCAAAACCCCAAAGAGTAAACGTTAACAACTTATTTAGTACATATTTAAAGACAAATGCTTAAAACTTTCAATTAATAAAAACTAAATTTGCATTTGCTTTTCATTTGCCACTTTCCTGATGTAAATTACAGTTTTCTACGAGGCTGATTTGGCATTTGGGGGAGACGCTGGAGAGAATATTGAAGAAAGAGACACACAGCTTCTTAGTGGGGGATTGTGGAATGAGGGGTGTGATGTTACTGAATGTGTGGGTGGCCTCTGGTGTTAATTTGGTGTGCGTCCTTGGGCAAGTCCCTTTACCTCTCTGGGCCACAGTTTGTGAAATGAAGGGGAGAGGGTCAAACCAGGAATCACAAATGTCTTTTCCAGCTCTGAATTTCCAGGCTTCTTAGGAATAAGATGGGAGTTCTGTAGATCCTGATTCCCTGGTTTCTACTTAGCACTCGGGAAGAACTGGACATGCTGTGAAATGATCACAGAATTCTTAGTTCTTGGGCTTTGGAAATGAAGGCTCAGCTTTAGTCGCGAATTGCAGAACTGTCAGATGCAAATATTACAGGCAATGACAGCCAGTGAGAGGCCCACCCAGCTGCACTTCCTGCTCTGTTCCTTTCCATGGCACTTCTGTAATCTCAAAGAGGTGTTGTCACACAACCCATGCAACTGTCCTGGTAAATGCTTAATGTCACCATTTGTGCTTCTGCTAGTCCAATCTTCCTGACTTTATGCACGGAAGCTAGTTCACATGTAAATAAGCAGAAAATGCAGTAACTGAGTGGCTCGGATGCAGGCACATATAACCATTGATTTCACATTAAGCCTTTACACTGATTTCATATTATGCTCTACTCTGATCGAACTGGGAGATTTCTGTAACACACCCTGAACTTTCTTTCATTTGAGTTTTTAATCAAGGTGTTCTCCCAGCCACAAACTTTCTCTACTACCACATTCTGCCAGCTAAGTCATATCCATCCTTGACAGCCAGATCAAATATCCTCCTAGGTCTTTCCACCTGATCTTTATTCTCAAGAATGGGATATCAAAATCTCAAACATTCTTCAGCGACAAGTCAAACACCCTCCAAGGTTTCTTCCTGGGGGCTAACTCTCATGTGTGAGATGTTAGAAAGTGAAGCATCTTTGGAATCAAGAACAAATCCTGCAAACTTCTTTTGCTCCTTAGGCTCAGAACTTCAGTTTTCCATCTGTATAAGCTGGGATAAAAATACTTTATCTAGTTGTTTTGATTATTAAATAAGTTGTCATTCATGAAAGCACCCCAAATAGATCATTGTTTTTTCCTTCTTCCCGCCCTCATTACTTCCTTCCCTTCCTTCTTTCCTTCCTTCACCAATTCTCCTAGCATTTTTAAACCTAATTTGTTGAAAAGATGGAATTATTCTTTGAAGTATTTTTTTTGTTTGTTTGTTTGTTTTTTGTTTTTTGCCCCTTGCCTGGTTGAGTATAAGTTTCTTGCAGGCAAATACTGTATCTGTGTTTCTGTGTTTTCTCACAGCATGCAGAACAGTATTTTTTATTTAATAGTATTTAGTAAATGTCTGTTGATTGAATGAGTATATTTAGGGCACTAATAGGTAAAAGGGATGAGAATAGAGGGGACTTTTGGGCTGGCCTAGAATGCATGGAATGTCCCTTGGGAGCCTGGGGCAGAAGCCAGGGAGATACATAGATATTAACACGGAGCTGATGTTCCCCAATGGCAAGAATCTTTGAACTCAGCTTGTTGACTTACAGAATCATCCATCCCCAGGAGGACCAGCAATGGGATGGTGGTCATGCCTCCGTGGACCCATTCCTGCAGGGACACAAAGCCGTCCCGGTCGTAGTCCATCCCGTGCAACATCTCCTTCAATATCTGTGGGATCCAAAGAGCAACAATTGTTCATTTCCACAGTCAGCTCTTCTACCTCCCGTCCACCCTCTGCTTTCTCTTCTGTCTTGCATTATCTGGTTTGTGTTTTACACCTTTCCCCTCTTACTAAGAGCAGGGAGGGAGCAGATGCAAATGAGGAGGCCAGACATCTAGGTCTGGCTCTGCCCTGGGCCTTTGGCTGATCACTCTAACTCTCTGGGTCCTGGTTTGCTCATCTGTGAAAATGGGTATAATATTGTTATATTTGTAGCACTGTAGCAACGATTAGATAAAATGAATATAAATTGTCTAATATAATACCTGACATATAGGAGCCCCCAAATGTAATTATTATTAATATTATCTGATTGGGAAAAAATCTCTGAAATCCTTTCTAGATCTCAATTCTTTGACATATGAATTCCTGTTATAAAATTTTAGCTCTGGGGAAAAGGTTAGGGGAATTATTATTTCAGTTATGTCTACACTTTTCCCCGCTGCCTACATTTTCCCTAGTAGAGACGTGGGAGGTGAGGTGTAGAACTCCAGAGAAGCTGCCTGTAAGGAGATGAATCTGGAAGCACCTGCACAGTGCACGATTGCATCAAGTCCTCAGTGGGGTCCACTCTCATCCGAGAAGCTCACTCTGAAGTCACCCCACCCTACAGACACTCACAGGCCTCAGTTCCGTGGGATCCCACTCCAGGTACTGGGCAATATGCAGCATTTGGTTGACAATGCGATCCATCTCCTAGAAAATATCAAGAGCAGAAAATATCAAGAGGAGACAACCAAAGATGTGTTATCAAGAGCAAAACTCAAAATCCGACTCAGTGGAAGGACGGGCAGGGCAGAGTGTGAAAAGAAGGTAGTGCAGTACAATGACATTTCGGGGGGGGCTCACTGTTTTTGCCTTGACCACAAAGCTCAGTGGATAACAGAAGCCCACAAGAATTACAGAGCCTGGGTAAGTCAGAGGTATGCACACAGCTCGCTGAACACTGACCTCCTGGACCCAGCTGGACCCCTTCCTTCCCCTCTTCTGTATTTTAACTTGAAAAGCATAGAAAGCACTTTTATCCTTCTTTATGATCATAGCTTCCACAAACACTTACAGACCAAGGCAGTCTCTTCTCCCCCTTTCTATATCCCCTCATCTCCACAGCTTTAGCAACTTGGGATCTATGTACCCCCTTAGGTGTCAGTTTCCCTTGGTTGGAGGGTTACTGTATGGGTCCTGGCTCACGCACTATGACTTAGATTCCTTCTGGCATCTCCTCTATTTCCTTTGCATCCTGGTCTAGCCCTGAGCCCAGGACGCTGTGAACAGGAAATTCATGAGGGATGTATTTGCCTTTTAGTACCAAGGCCAGGCTGCATCTAAAACATCACAGAATTGTTGGATGATGAGTCAGTGTACTGAGAGCCACATTGAAACATACGGGACTGAGGAGGCGTTTGGTGTCAAAGTGAACATCACTTGGGCACCGTCTGAGATGTTCACTGTAAGACCACTTTGGGAGGACGTATTGGTGGACCGAAGCAAGATTCAAGTGTTACCCCCACCAGGTAGAATTCTGGGTCAAAACAAGCATGCTAAAACCCAACAGGGATTTAAAAAATTATATTTCATTTAAATTAAAAAATAATCTATTGCAAAACTACAGGATAGGGCAGTAGATGAGAGCAAGAGAATGGGCAGAATGGTGGGGATGGAGCTTGGCAGCAGTTCCAATGGAAAAGAGCTTGTGAATCCAGTTGGGTCCAAGATTCAATGAAAAAAATGTGATTCGGGAACCGAGAATCAGACTCAGTCTCGGGCTGTGTAAATAGAAGCAGTGGGCAGATTTCAGGAAGAACTAATGCACCTAAGGTCTACCCTGGTCAGACCACAGTGGGATACTTATCATTATAGAGGGGTGGGTTCTATTCTGTGCCATAATCCAAGAACAACACTGACAAACCAGAGCTTGTCCAGAGTGGATATTTAAGCCTGTTTTATGAGAACCAGTGCCGGAATTGGGAAATTTTAGCTTGGAGATTTTAGGACAGATGTGATAGCACCTCCAAATAAATACTTGAAGGCCTATTGTGTAGAATCAGTATTCCATTTGTTCTGGTCAGGTAAGAGGGCAGAAGGAAGCCCAGGGATGTAGAGAAGGGAGGAGTTGAGGGTTGGCTTATTTTGGATTCCCTGCTGGGTTGGGGGAGAGGGAGAGGAGGGCAGAAGTAAGCTTTGTGTTGAAACCCTTCCCTGGCAGACAGAGAGATGCCTTGTGTGCAGGAAGGACGCCTCTCTAACAGTGGAGTGGCTGTCTCAAGGTAGCAGGTGACCTCCCCACTACTGGGAATGTTCAAAAAGAGCCTGAGAGTCCACCTGCCCGGGATTCTGGGTGGGAAGTTGAATCAGATAACTATTCTGACATCTGCTTCAGTCCACAAATATTAACTTTAAACTATATCTGGAATTTAACCACTTCTTACCACTGGCAACGATTCTACCCTGTGCAAGGTTATCGCCATTCCATGCCTTGATTATTTCAGTAGCTTCCTAACTGGTCCTGGCTTGCATCCCTACTGTCTGTACCTGCCCAGCAGCTAGAGTGATTCTGTTAAAATATAAGTCAATCATGCCATTCCTTTGTTGAAAACCTTCAATGATTCTCCATTTCTCTGGAGTAAAAGATAAACCCTTTTAATCACCTATAAGACTTAAGATACTTTGTAAACTCCCCATACCCCTCTTCCCCATCCCATAACTTCTCTGATCTCATCTCTTGTGACTTCCTCATTCTGTTCTCATCTATGTGCTCATTCCGCTCCAGTCACACCGGCCCCTAGTAATCCCCTAGCCGTCCTCTAGTAACCCTCATGACCTGTGCACTCGCTGCTCCCTCTCCTGGAAGGCTCTTCCCGCAGCTACCCCCAAGTCTTACTCCCTCACCTCCTCCAAGTCCGCTCAGACGCTCCCTCAGGGGACCTTCCTTGGCTGCCCTAGCTGAAGCTGCGACTTCTTCCAACGCTTCCTTTCCTCCTTTATTTTTCTTCTTAGTACCCATTCCTACCTAACACTATGCTGTGTCTGTCTATGCTCGGGCTGGAGTGAAGGCTTCAGGAGGGCATGGAATTTCATCAGTTGGCTGTGCTGATGTCCCCTCCAGTGTTTACAGAGCACATGATCTAATGCAGACAGTCAGTAAATATATGGTGACCAAAAGCTTGAGATTCTGTGATTCTCTGGTGGTTCCCTCAAGTGGTCCAACCCCCAGCACTGCAATGTGGCTGGGGGAATCCTGTACAGGCACTCTGGGTTTAGAGGGAATTGGGATGAGTCAGTTGGTCTAGCGGACTTGTCCTCTTTCCTCTCTCCTCTGGTCTGACTCAGGCCCATGCATCTCAACCTCAGGCCTGTCCCATTAATGAGCCCTGTTTCTGACATTGCCAGTCATGACCACAGGCCAGTCTGACTGTGTTCGCCTTCTTCCTTTTGCATTCTTCCTCTCACTCCATGATCCCTGGCTATTCCCGAAGGGGTGGGGGTGAGTCTCAGGTTTTCCCAGGTGTGATGGGATAAGATCATGTGCTCAGAGCAGACAGAACCAGACTCCTGAGCTTGTGCCCTGGAGTATGAGAAGAAGCCACGGGTGAGGTCAGAGCACACCAGTAGTAACCAGCAACCTCCCTTCCCTTGCCCTTCTCCCATAGTCTTGTTGCCTCCTCCACACCTCTCCTCTTGGCCCAGGGACTCCAGCGGAAAACTGCAGGGGGAGTTTGTGCATCCTGATGGGAAAGTGAAACTAGAGGAAATACTAAAGCACCTCCCTATTCTGAGACTTTATGATCCTGGGCTTCTAGAATGAAAAGGTAAGTTGGCATTCATTCTCTGAAAGGCTGGCTCTTTAAAACTAGGAGGAGGAGGGTTCCACTCGGATTTTTGCAGCCAGTATTAAGACATTGCTATGCTTACGAAGATGGAACTGAAAATTTTCAGATTCTTCCTCCCTCTGCTCCCCGCTCCCCCAGCCTTTCTCAGACCTCGGAGGGATATTTAGAGTGAGAGCTTACCGCTTGGTCCAGGAGACCGTTCTCATCTGAATCATAGAGACGGAACATGACTGCAAGAAACAGAGGTAAGGCTTGAAGTGTCCTCAGAAAGCAGGCATGGCTGGGGTTTTGATGCTGCCGAGTTTTTAGATCAGTCCTGGCCGTCACTGGAGTGAAGGCTGTGCAGCCAGCTCACCCTCCCTCCAAGCACAGAGTTGGACCTCCTTACAGAGAGGGTGGGACAAGGGAGGAGAATCAAGCCACCTGGCTTCCGGACCTGTCTAAACAGTAATTCTGTGGTTGATGAGAGCCAGGTCACAAGTGTGATTCCCTGGAGAGCATGCACATCTCTAAGCATCACTAGAACACAACTCAAAGCAAATGCCCAGCTGGTGGTGAGGCAGAGGTACCAGAATTACAGATGGGCCTTTGCTTCTATTGTGCACAGAAAGAGTGTAGAGTTAGGCAGATTTAAATCCTGGCCCTACCCTATCATGTCTGGGGTGTTCAACAAATTATTTAATTTCTCTGGGCTCAGTTTCCTTATCTGTAAAATGGAGATTATATTAGTAATAGTTTATTTCTCCTACGGTTAGTATGAGGATTAATATGTAACTGATATGCCAAATTCACAGTGCTTGGAATGTAGAAAGCACTCAACAGATGTTATTTATTTTTATTTTCTTTTTATAGCTAGGCCCCCATCATTTTAAAAATGTCTTGTTACTTTCCAGCACAATATATTCAAGGCTCATCTTGTACCTTCCCTGTCTCAGCTCTGGAATCAACTGTTTCTCTAAGAAACCTTTGCTCTTTTAGTGGAGAATGGTATTTAGAAACCA